CTGTTTTGAGCTCCCAGTTCAAAATGCTTTATTAGTTCCACATTGCCTACAAAATTAATTCTCCACTCCTCAGTCTGCCTTTGAAATCTTCCATTTATAACCCCAACTGACTTTGCCAGGCTTGCTCCTAGTTATCACCTTATGCCATAACTTGTTAACACCCACACCCTCAATGCCTAGCCATGGCCTAAAATATGCTAGTTCCCTTGGGAACTTCATGATCTTTTTAAGCCTCTATGTCCTCATCTTCAGGATAGGTACATCATTTCTCCTGCAAAGCTGTTGTGAGGATTGTCAAAATCAACTAAGCATGCAGTAATGCCTGACACAGAGGTGGCAACTGTACTGTTGTTATTTCATCATTTAAACATAAATCAGTTGCTACTTTCAAGAGCAAGGTAAACAGTTATGTCACTAAAAACACACACAGACAGTATTACACCCTAACCACAAAAACTAGCTATTACGAATTTCAACACAATGAACAACCAGGGAAGTAATGAGGGATTTTTACAGAAAATTCCACTATGAGGGAACACGTCAAAAATGTTAGAATTTTGGCATACAACTATTATATAGGTGAAGTAATTATTTTTCTTCCTTTTTAATTTCCTGTTATTCATACCTGTGCTTACCTATTGATGAATGGGAAAATAATGGTGACATAAATCACTTCTCAACAGTCAGGTCAAGTATTTAAACAGCTCAATAGTAAGTTGCTTAGTCTGGGGGAACGTTTGGTTTGTGTGAAAGAGAATGGTACTATTAATAGTGTATCCTTTACTACACTACAGCACAGTTTTTGTTAACTGAGCAGAGGTGTGAAGAAATGTATGATTCCTAAAACCTAGAAATTCAAAGCAAAGGGTTTTAATATTACTGTTTTGCTGTTACAGGTAGATAACTTCTGCTTCTACTGAGATGCAGAAATGACCAATTCTGAATTGAAATAACACAGATGAACTAGGAACTAGGGGCAGGTGATTTCATACAAGAAGATAATTTTCATTGAGCAAAAAGATAAATACTGTAGTGTCTCTGCAAATAATTTTGGATTACAGTAGGAAAATGGAAAGGAATAAATGGATACTGCTAACAGTAATACCGAACAATTATTGAGCAGTTTCTATGTTCTTAATAGTCTTTTATATTAATTAATATACTGTATCCTACAACAATCCTACAAAGTAGGTCATATAATTGTACTATTTTCCAGAAAACTGAGTCAGAGAGGATTAAGTATCTTGCTCAAGGCAACAAAGCTGGTAAACAGTAGAGGAAGAACTTGAGTCTAGACTGTCTGTTTACACAGCCTGTGTTCCTAACCACTACACTGGTCATTCTGTCAACACGGGTACATAAAATCACGACACTGATACAAACATAAAAATTCATTCATCTAGTGAGTGTCTCTAAGCAAAACGAGTGGGGGGTTTGTTGTCAGATATCCCTGAGTTCTGGCTTTTCAGCTTATGTAACCTTGCACGAGTGACTCAGCCTCTGAACTTCAATTTCTTCTGAAGACAGAATGATCACATATTGCTGATAGTCATCTTGAAGATCCATTAAAAAAATGTTTTTGAGTATCTATCTATTTAATGCCAGGCATTGGTGCAGGGATCACAAAGGGAACATGGAGCTCAGTCCTCACACAGGTGGAGGGGAAATCAAATAGTCACACTAACTCAAGAATGATCAACACAATGAACAATCAATCAGGGAAGCAATGAGGGATTTTTACAGAAAATTCCATTAGGAGGGAACATGTTACACAATAAGTTGAGTTCTGATAGCCCACTTGTTATGGGGAAAGATGGCATAATGAAAGCTTTCCCTAGGAAGTGTACAGAGCTTAGAGGTAAATAGGAAGTACAGAGGTAGAAAGCAATGCAGACAATGAAGAGCAGCCTCAAAAGCCACTGTGAACTTAATTCTTTATGCTAAGAGCAATCTGGATAGGTGGATTCTGAGTGAGGAAGAGTGACACAGATTAAATTAGATAATAACTGAGAGAGCCTAGGCACAATGACCAGCATATAAGTGGAAGACACCTACCCCTCCATTCCAAAAGTATCTCTGCTCATTCTATTTTCTTAATATGGCTGAATCAAGCATGCAAGCCTCTAAGAGACTATCACAGCCTTACGAGATCAATCAACACTTACTCACTGTCCTACCCATTCCAGGACCGGGGCCAGACATTACAAAGAATACAAAGATGAATAACAGACCCTGATTTCAAGGAATTTATAATCTAGTTAGGAAGACAAGATGATAGAAAGCTTTACAGGTTCCCATTCTTTTCAAGATAAAGTCCAAATTCCTTAGCAGGTAAAGGCCCTTCATGACATGGCTTTTGCTGACCTTCCACCTCCCCACCTGCCCTCCTCCTCTCTAACAGCAGCACCTTCTAGTGTATCCGAAAAGCAGATTAGTTGCTCACTGCATGCAAAGTCTAATTATTAATAAGAGTGAGGTCTGATACAAGGCAAATGAATTTACTCCAAAACTAGCTTGGGGAAGGGGCACAAAATATCCTGTCATTAAATATGCCACTTCACCTTCGGAGCAGAACACTTTTATAAGGTAAGGGGGGTAGTGAGTAAGGGCAAGGGGGGGCCCCCTGCTAGCCTGGTGTCTTATCTACCGAACAATTGAGTTCATGCCTTTCTGAGCAGAAATAAGTTGTAAAAGTGGCCAAGCTGGCATGCTTTCAATAAGCCCTCCTGGTAGATGAAAGTCCTGAGGCAACCCCCAGAGGTTGGAAGCTCTGAGGCTATTCCCTAGAGGTGAATGTTCCATAGAGGTACGTTTTGGTCTGCAAGTTGACTGTCAACTCTAGCAGAGAAATCTGTCTTCAGACAGAGAGTAAGAACTTGTCCTGCAGGAAATGTCTGTTGAGGGGGAGGTGACAGGTTATATTTGCATTCTAAAAAGCTAATGGGAAACAGGGAACAGGGGGAAAAGGGAGAGGAGAGAAAATGAAAAAAAAATAATAATGCATTCCCTTTTTCTTAGAAAAAATGATGGCACTTAAAACTACTACCTCTGACTACAAAGTGCCAACTTGTGAAAGTCTGCACATGCTGTTCTCCTTTTCCAAAGAGCCCTTCCCACCATGTCTAAGAGCAATCCTATTCATACAAGCTTTTACAAGGCATTAGCTATTCCCTCCAGGTAGCCTATCCTGGCTTTCTGGGGATGAGCAGCTCCTCTGTGCTTTGTGGCATTTATCACATTGCTAGAGCTATGTTACTGGTATGTCTGACTCCCACTGGGAACTCATTCCCAACAGACGTGAACTCAATTTGTTCTATTCATCCTTGTATTAGTTGCCAGTACCTAAAGTAATCTGACATAGCAGAAATGAAAAAAAAAAAAAAAAAAAAGGGAAGGTGTGAAGAAAGTAGAGAAGACGGGGAAGCTGGAAGGGAGGAAGGGAAGAGATATTGTAAGATATAGTGATGATTATTTGATAATTTTATTGTTTAGAGATAGAGTCTCTCTGTTATCCAGGCTGGAGTGCAGTGGTGTGATCACAGCTCACTGTAGGCTTGACCTCCTACACTCAAGTCATCCTCCAGCCTCAGCCTCCCAAAGTGCTGGGATTACAGGACTGAGCCATGGCACATGCCCAATGCATTTTAAAAATTAAAGCCTATTATTTGAGGTAAAATGTACATACAGTGAAATATACAGGAGTATACAGTTTTTCATTTTGGCAAAGCTATACACTGAAGTGGCTGTAACACTTCACACCTTTGAATCTAGTGGTACCAATCTTACACTCCTGTCAGCAACACATGGCAGTTCCAATTACTCCACATTCCCATCAACATTTGGAGCTATTTTTTTCTTTTAATTTTAGCTCTTCTAGTTTCTGTTAAATATGATCTCAATGTAGTTTTAGTTTACATTTTCCTGATGACAGCTGGTGCCGAATATAACTTTTCATATATTTACTGGCCATTCATACATGTTCTTTTGTGGAATATCTGTTCAAATCTTTTGCCCATTTTTATTGAGTTGTCTTATTTTTACTGATTTAAAGGAGTTCTTTATATATTCTAGAAACATGTCCTTTGTCAAAGGTATATATTGAGAATATTTCTCCTAGCTTGTGGCTTGCCTTCTCATTTTGTTAATGATGTATTTTGATCACCACGTGTTTTTAAAATTTTAATGAAGTCTAATTTGTCAATTTTTAAAATATAGTAACTAAATCTTCTCTAAGAAATTTTGTGAATCACAGGTAAGAAAATTTGTATGGTGACTTCTGGAAGCTGTACAGTTTCAGTTTTAGCTTCTATGTTTGAATCTACAGTCCCTATCACAGACCCTACTTCTGGATAACACACAGTATTTCTTTAGTTACAGAACAGCTGGATTGTTTTTGCCTTTTCTCTTCTAACTATGCATATTCATTTAGATAGGATGCTGGGCAAGAAGGGCAATAAAAGCACAGTTGATGGGAGAAGGAAAAAATAATTGAATATAAAAAATATTTGAAATCATACTTCAAATTACTTCAAAATAATATTTCAAAAGATTTCTTCATTTTGGTAATTAAATACTAAAGGAAGCATTCATGAAAAATAAAGCAATTGGTAACACTCTATCTCAATAGTATCTCTTTATATGAACTTCTTAGGAAAAGTCAATCTATGGAGGCAGAAAGCAGATGATTGTCTGGGGCTAGAGGCAAAAGCAGGCATGACTGCAAATGGGCACAAGGGGAGATGGGGTGCTGGAGGCGTTCTAAACCGTGGCAGTGATGGTTAACAACTTAAACATTTATTAAAACTTAAACTGTACAATTACAAGAGGTAAATTCTATGACATATAAATTATCCCTCAATCAAGCTGTCAAAAAAAAAAAAAAAGATCTAGCCTGCTTGTTGGAGCCCCAGGAAAACAAACAAAAAATTCTATGTAGACAAAATATAGAAAATATAGTCTTGTATACATAGTAAGAAAAGACAATTCTGTTTGAACATTAGATACACCAAGGAGCTGGTTTAAAAGAGAAACTGATTGGAAAGAAGTGTATGAAGAAGAAGGAAAGAAAACTGTGTACCTCTTTAAAGTAAGTAACTGAATCTGGGAAATGTTACAACTTCAAATACAGCATTCCTTTAAAATCAAAGATTGTTTCCTTAAAATATCCTTATACTTTCTTTGATAGTTACATAAATCCTATTAGTGTGTATTCCATTTAGGCCAAGCGACAGGCAATGTTTCCCCCAAGGTCCCTTAGTAATTAAGTGACATGCTAATATTAACAAGAAATCCCTAAGAACCTTTTCAATATTTTGTTTTTCCCCCTAATACTGGCACTACAGAAGAGTACAGTACTACCCTCTTATTCTCTGAATTGTGCATTTGCTTTCTGCCATTTCAGTTACCCCCATCCAACTGTGGTCCAGAAGTAAATATTAAGAATTCTAAAAAAAAATAAATTCCAGAAATAAAAAATTCACAAGTTTTAAATTGCATGTCATTCTGGGTATTTTGAGGAAATCTCACTTAGTTCTGTGCAGGATATGAATCACCCTCTGTCCAGCATATTCAGGCTATATACATTCCTCGCTCATTAGTCATGAATATCTAACCATCAGCATCCTCATGGTTCAATAATCCAGGTTCACCAGCAGCAGATGATCCTCCTCCTGACATTTCATCTCAAGGTCAGTAGTAGGCTAACACTAACTCGAGGTGCCTATGTTACTCACCTCACTTCATCTGATCACACCGGCATTTTATCATTTCATATCATCACCAAAAGAAGGGACAGTACAATAAGATATTCTAAGAGAGAGGAGGAGACGGAGACCACAACTTTTATCAGAACCTATTGTTATAATTGACCTATTTTATTATTGTTGTTAATCCCTTACTATGCCTAGTTTATTATAAATTAAATTATAACGAAGATATGTATGTATAGGAAAAAAACATAGTATATATCGAGTTCAGTACTATCTGTGGTTTCAGGCATTCACGAGAGAGGGGACCATATCTCCTGCTGAAAAGGGAGGACTGAAGTACCAGATTGTCTATGAGTTAACAGCCAAGTTTTTCACTATGATTACAAACAGATAATATTACTCAAACTCCAGGAAGCACCCTAGTTGATTCTAGAATCTAGATTTTAATACATTTTAGACTTGGGTGGCCTAGCTCCTTTCACTGGTCACAGAATTTTTTTCTCATGTTATTCTCTATTGGATAGAGTTTTAAAAGTCAAAGGAAAATGATTTAATGAGTGATAAAAGGAGAAACTTTTGCATCAAGCATCATGCTTTTCCAGAGAAAGTTTCCTTTTCTCAAAACCTAAAACCAACAGATTAAAAGGCTTTTCTTCTTGGAGATGATATTAATTATACTTTTATACATGTATATATTTCACATATTTATAATATTTTGGAGAAAATATTTTTTATTATTTTTAAGAAGAAAGGACCTCTGAGGGAAGCCCAGCTGTGGGAACTAGAGTTCTAGGCTTTATCTGTAACAAGTGTATTATTAAGCCCCACCTCTAAGAGATTCTGTACAAAAAAACCTCACCAATTCCACACTGTGGAATAAGCAGGCAGTTCTATAGAAAAATCTACATAAATCAGAAAACAATTGGCACAGTACAAATCAATCTAAGGAAACTGACTGATTTTCTAGATAAAGCAAGGGAAAGAATTTTGAAATAATATACAATAAGGGTCTTGAATAAGTCGAACACTTTGGAACAAAAAGCTCTTTTCAGAGATTTTAGCTAAACTGGGATATGGGATCATTTATAAAACCTTCAAAGCAATATCTAAAGCATTTATTATTTGAAAATCTACCTAATCAATAGATTTCAAAGAGATACCATGAAAGTTTTTGGCCAATAAGAGAAGTCACTAAGAAATTAGGATTTCTATTTCTAATGAGTTAACTAACTCTTTACATACACACAAATATATATATTTAGAAAAGATCTGAGGACATTCAAATAATGCTGGAGGTGGTGGAATAGGGGGACGGGAACTAAGAAAAATGAGAGAAAGAAGCAAAGATAGGCCCTTGAGGTTAGTCTGCCAATCATCTCACTATTTGTACGTGGTTGTGTTTGGGGATTTTGTTTTTTGTTTTCTTTTGTTTTGCTTTTTACTGGTCCTTGATAAGGTACCTGTCCAACTGACTCAACATATAGAGCTCACAGAACTACCAACCATTTTCTTAAACAAGTCTAACTTTTATTTTTCAAATTAGGTACCTCAGATATTTGTCCAGAACAAACAGGCCCAAATTCACCTATCCTAACTCCACCCATAAAGGTTTCCCACAAGCCCAGCAGGCTGCAAGCCTCCAGTTCATCTCAAGGATACCCTCAACATTAGCAGTGCCTTTTCTGAGTTTAACCCTCTCCTCCCACCCTGCAACTCAACACTACTAGAAATAAGTTAAGGTCCTGGAGAGGCACCTGATCAGACCTCAAGGCACATGACATGGTTGATAGTACATTATCAAGGGGAAGAGGCTGTGACCTCAAGTCACATGACATGTGATAAGTACAACATCAAGGGGAAGAAGCTCATGGCAGACTGCAGAGTGATGCTTTGGCACCAAACAAACAAAACATTTTTATAAAATGTATGGAGTAACTGTACTATTAAGCTATAATAATTCATTAAACATATAAACATCCAGCCCTATTACAGCAAATGGCCATCTCATCTGGGAGTCATGAATTGCCAGTGAAGCACTTAAAATTTAACCACAATTACCCTAAGAATAATATTTTAGTATGATGGTCGTTAGATATCTGAAAGCTAGATAAAATTTTTGTCAGATTAAATAGAGGTGCATTCAGTGAATTATTACCTGCTCCTAACCAGTCAGAAGAAATAGAAATGGAAAACAAGAGAGAGCTTTAAGCCCTAAAAGGGATTGGTAAACACAGAACAAACCTTGAAGGTTTTCAGCCTCTAAAATTTCTGCCAGTATTCTTAGTCATTACATGAAATACCACAATGACTCACCACCACCTACACAGTAATATTCTCTGTGTCTGACAGACATGTTTTCATTTGATATATAAAAATAAGTCAGAAACACTGCAAGCAAAGGCTGACTAATGTAAATAATTTGTTTCTTACCACCAATGGTTAAGAGTTTTACACCATTTCCTTTTTTCTCTCAATAGCAAGCAATGCAAACTGTATTCAGTTTGCTAGACAAAGTCTGCAGCTAAATACATAGGCTTTTTATTCGGCTTTATTACTGTTCAACTAGAAACTCATTAGAGTGACTTTAAGTTTTAATAGTCTGCATCACCAGCAGTTTTCTGGTAATCAAAAATAAACTTTCTTCTAAATGTATTAGAATAATCTCCCAATATCTACCAAAATTTTCAGTATTTATACTGCTAATCTAGTACAAATTCAGTTGACAAGTCTTAATACTTTTTTTTTTTTAAGTTCAGGGGTACATGTGCAGATTTGCTGTATAGGTAAACTTGTGTTACAGGGGTTTGTTGTACAGATTATTTTGTCACCTAGGTATTAAACCTAGTACCCACCCAATAGTTATTTTTTCCTGATCCTCTCCCTCCTCCCACCCTTCACCCTCTGATAGCCCCCAGTATCTGCTGTTCCTGTAAAAGAGAATTTCTAAACAGTGTTTTCCTAATTGAATGGAAGTACTTCATCTCTGGGGACACAGCACCAGCTGTAAAGTGACAGACAAGGAAGAAAGGCACCCAAAGGCCCTGTGGGCAACAAACCATGAAGCCAAGTTCCACACATAGCCACCTCCTTCAACAGCACCAGCACTGTTCTTACAGGCCCAGGCCCCTCCCATGCCCTCAAGAGTCTTGTCTGGTTGCTCATCTGACACTTTAAAGTTTTACTTGGGTCAAAAGACAATCTAGCACGATAACTGGTCCCACATTGGAGCTATATATTTTACCATGTAATATACAGTAGAGAGACTTTTAAGGAGAAAAAATATTTCTTAAAGATTATCACCCTTATCCTTTTAATCTGCTCCCTTTCATGCCAGCCACTTTGGTGTCTCCATAGTAAGTAATGTTTTAATGAGAAGAAAGAGTAAAAGAGAATGACAGGTGGAGAGGGTACAGGCAGAGTAAAGAATCAGCCCAAACTTATTACCACTATGAGAATATTAAAAACCCAACTGCTACAGGATTCAGTAGTTATTAATTCATGCACACCTGCATTCACTCAAATACTTACTGTGCATCTCATGTGTTTTGCTACAGTAATCACTTATGCGTCCATTCATCCAGGCCACACACATTCATTGAGCACCTACTCTGGACCAAGCACTGCCCTAGGCCTCCAGGATCCTGAGTGTGAGAAAGTCAGATATAATGCCTGAGACACTCTGCTCTCTGAAGGTGCATATATATAGTGAATTTAACATAAAGAGTTATTCATATGAGAAAAAACTCAAACTATTTGATTGTTGAAAAGATGGCAAAAGACTGACTTTTCCTTCTACATCCAAGAAATGCCCATCTTTTCTGAAAACAATGCATATGTATTATATATATAGCATTAATATATATCAAATATATATACATGTCATATATATATATATATTCTGAGTTTTCAGTTATTTGGTTTAATTTAGTTCTTAAATACTGCACTGAGTAATGAAATAAGCAGCTAGCAGCTTTCAGATCTTCCAGCAAATTCATGTAAAAAAGAAAGAATACTGCAACTTGTTTAGGAATCTGTTTTGCCAAAGACAAAAAATTCTAGCTCTTCATCCATAAGCCAGAAAATCATAACTAAAAGATGGAGCTGGTTACTGAGCTCCTGTAACACGCACCAAGAACAGCGTGAAATTCCAGAGGAATTTTGGGAATTGAAGGTTGGGGTGGGGAGGATTCCAGACACAGTGAGTAACAATATTCAAGGACAGTTCAAACCTGAAAAACACCATCCATGGTATTGAGCAATTACCTCCCAAAGGCCATGTCACATATGTTTTCCGAGAGAAAATGATGGTGACTAGATTACTCCCAGAGCGTCAAGATATACTCTTATGTACAGTTAATTGTACAAACTACCAGATCCT